ATAATATCGGTATATCGATCAGATTTTATATTTTCATGATTTTCTTGGGGAAAAATAAACCAGCCTACACATGATACTACAATTCGGAACCATAACTGAGCTTAGTTATATGTTTTAATTAAAAATAATCTTTTATAATTAAAATATAATACTCTTGGTGGTCCCAAACTCCCAATGTAAAAGCATCAATAAAAGATTAAAAGGAAATATATATACACAAATCATGCATGACAGGAAGTCGTGGAAGCAACGAGATCAAAATCGATCAGCTGTACCTAGCTAAGCTAGCTTTTTACTTGTATAATTAACAACTTGGGATTAGTTAGTATTTCAACATTAATTATTCCGCCTTCAACAAGCTTTTTACTTCTTTCTTTTTCTTGTGAAACACATAAACAATTAAGAAGCTTAATTAAGGAGGCTCCCGACGAAGACATTATTAGCTAGGGACCATATCAATTAATCATTGAACAGAACAAGGAATTAATCTTTAGAACACATAAATTTAAAAGTAATTAATTAAGATAAATCTCTCATCTTAACTAATTTTTCCGAATCCACATATAGCTAGGTATCTAGCTAGGCAGATACATTTAACGAGTACAATCATATTGAGAATATTAATATTTGATTGACTGAAGTAATTAAAATAAGTTTAGTAATTAAATACTTGATTAGTGCTTTAAAGATAGCGCTAATATATAATTAGGAATATGAGGTTAACTAGAAGGCAAGCCTTACACGTTATGTGCTGAAAAAGCAACTAATGATTGTTGTATTTCAAAATATGTAATTCGCAAGATAGTGGCTATCAATATCTGACAGTCTGGCTTTGGGAAATTATATAACAGGCCATTAGGATAAGGGCAATATTATTATATTAATTGATTTTTTTTAAGGATATCATATATGCTTCCCTAAAATTTTTTTTGAATTACGCAATCATTCTCCATTTTAAAATTTATGCTCCCTTTGTGGAGTGTGCACACATGTGTGTGTGTTATTTTGTTATAATAAACCAGGCATCTGACTAAAATAAATGCAGTCGTCACTCTTCAAATTTGAAGTAAATTAATTTTTTTCGAAGTAAAATAAATAATATTGAAATAAACCAATATCATTAATAACAAATATATGTATTGTGCTAGTGGTAATTAAAGAAAATTTCTGAATATTACTTTAACTTTACTGATTTATTTGTTTTTTGGGGGGGGGGGGGTAGTATAATTTTGAATGCGTCAAGAGGGAAAGTCAACGAAGTAGAAAAACACAAAACAAAACCCCAAACGGATAGATCAACAAAACTCGAGAAACTCCGATGCTGTACGCTTCCGACCAAATATAAAAAAAAGTTTTTCTGTACGCTCCACAATTAATGCTTCCATGTGTCCTTAATCAATTAACTAGTCACGGTTTATCCAGTAATTAATTTCAATTTTAATCTGGTAAACTGTAGCTTTCTCAACTCTTGTTTTTTCCCAAGATTAATAATTAATGTTAATGATTTTTTTTAAAAATAATTCGTTGCCTTGGTTGAATTCTTACTTAATTTAAAATAAAAATATCAAATTTGAGTTTGACTACGTTTGAGGGTTGATTATAATAAAATTCGTGACCCTCACTAATGTTTTTTCTTTAAATTCCTCTTCTTTTGACAAACTACATTAAATTATATTACGACTCAACTTGCACCTAACCATATTTGGGATTTTTAGTGCATTTGCAAAAATCACGATTTAAATAGTATTTCAAAGTGATAAAAATACTTGTTAATTAGTTAATTAATTTCTTCCTCAGAAATAAATATATTATTCACGCACGGTAGGTACATCTTTCCCTTTCAGAAGGAGCCCTTGCTATAAGGCAATCCAATATTTTCTTCATATAATCCTTGACTTTAATCAGTTGCCACAGCTCATTTCATTAATACTCTATTTTTACAAATAGTCTTACTTTTGTTTTCACACACACAAGTGACTAACATTTAGTATCCAAGTAGTATAAATAATTTTTCTCTAAAAAAAATAAAAACATTCACATTTTATAATTTTCAATTCAAAATAAAAAAGTTAAGCAATTAAACAATAAATATCTTTAATTGTTTATATTTTATGAGAGAAGTCATTATTTTTTTAATATATTTAACTTTTCTTTTTCTTTATTAGTGAAAACTTATGGACATTACTAATTGGGGAAAAAAACACAGAGAACAATTCACTCAAATAATTCCCATTCTCATGCCCATTCATGTGAACTTATAGTTGGATCAATGTAGGCACATGAAATATAAATATGCATAGAAGATCTCGATCCTTGTATAATATATAAAGGAAGGTATACATGAATCTAGCCATTCTTCTATTAATTCGTGTTTGATATAAATCTACAAAGAACGTGCTCACTCGACTTCATCGATAATTCTAAACGAAAATTTATTGAAATATTCAATAAGTAATTAACTAAAGAGCCTTAATTTTCATTTTATACTATGCATTTTAAAAAAAAGGAAATTATTAGGTCTTCGGTCCTCTTCCCACTGGAATTAATGGTGTTGCAAAAATTATATATATAACAACGGTGGTTATTATATGTCAGAAAATATGAAGAGAGTGTGGCGGTCAACGTTTATGGTCTTTGATACAGACACGTGAAGCTGTCACGTTGGTAAAGTATATATGATCGACGTGGCTGAATTGCCAAGTCTCTTGAATATATATAAAATGTGATGCTCCTAGTACAATTATCTGTCGCGTAGTGATCTCCTCCATAATTATTTTTTTTTTGGAAGGTTAAAGAAGTTTGATTGAATGTGAAAACTGATGGGGGTGGGCACATGCACGCTCACTAATTTAATTAGCCATTATCCCATGCATCATCATCATAACCCGATTATTGTGTTCCTAATTAATCCTCCTTTTGTTTTCATTAATTATGTTTATTTGCTTGTGTGTTTGTGTGTATATCATTTCCCTTTTTAAGCATTATTTATCAGTCAAAATCTCTTCTTTCCCTGTAAACTTTTGCCTATTTTAGATCCTTCATTCAACCACCTCCTAGATATTACTGAATGATATATACAACATTTTCACCAAACATATATAAAATGAAATCCGCGATCAACCATGTTGAAATTTAATGCATAGTTCTTCATATCTCAAATAAATTCTCTCAGATACAATCGATATATATATATATATATGTATGTATTAAGTGAACCATGTATGTAATTGTCGACATCCCAAGCAAAATATAATAATGTTTTTTTAGAAGCGAAGAAGAAGATGCGGGGGTAGGATTAATTAGGTAGTGTTCAAAGACATACACAGAAAAAGAAAATAAATTAAACCAATATATATATTTATATAGAAAAGAGACAAAAAATGAATAGGAAACAAGAGTGGGTCAAAAGGAGTTGGATGGAGACGAGAAGAGGAAAGTGTGAGGAAGGCATGGGATGGGAAAGCAGGAAAAATTAAAGTGAAAAGCAGAAAGAGATAACTTGAGAGTGAAAAAGTGCAACAAGTAACAGAAACATCACTCACTTCAGCCAAAATGGCATTTGGTAGCATCCATCGTCATAATAACCAGAACCTCAAAAAGAAAAGAGCACCTGCCTTCTCAATTCTCATGATTATTTAGTCCCTATCTCGTATATATAATTTATACTGCTCTACATCATTCCAACATTATTAGCATAAAAGTAACGCCTTGCGTTTTTTATTTATTTCCCACACCAACCTCACTGTCTCCCACACAAACATATGTTCATATATGTGTGTTTTGATTCACTTATACGTAAATATACCAAGCCATCGTTTATTTGATTAAATGTTACGTTGTTAGAATATATTAAATCTGAACAGACCTGATTTGATACAGGTATTAAGTTGTGAGTTAAGATATGGTATATATATTGAGTTCATCTTTATGGTGCTCACCTCGTTCAATTGGAGGTCTCATTCTTTTTAGGTTTCTCACCCTTCAAAAAGTATGCGCTTGTCATACTCAGAAGACAATGATCCCTCAATAACCAACCTTTTCTACGTTTATATCATAGAATAATTGCACTAAAATTATAGATAGTGCAATAATAAAACGAAAAGTTCTCATCAAAATCAAACCAATAAGAATATAGCTAGGTTTTCACCGACGACTAATTTTCAAATCCTTTGTTAACTTTATGAATCTTAACTTAATTTACAGAAAGGTTCCTCAACAAGAGCATCGCGCGTATGTTATTAAATATGTAATGCTCTTTTTAGGCACTCAGCCAGAGAGAGGCCTTAGCTAGAAATCTGGCCCTATTATTTATAAATGTGCAAAATGGATGACATGGTCATGATGAGGCATGAGTTATTTTGCACGCCTTTATTGTGGTAATAATGATTCGTCACCACTATCTAACACATACTATATATTTAATTACTGCATTTCAATAATCACTGACTCGGCTTTAAAATATATATAAAAAGGAAAAATAACCAAACAGCTAATTACCGGGTTAATATGTGTAATTTCCTCCAAATCATGATGACGAGGCAAATCACGTTATCCTACTACTCCTCCGGTCCTAATTATAAGACCCAATTGACTTATTTGAGGAGATTAAGGAAGTAAGTTAAGTTGGTTATTTATAATAAATAAGTGTGTCATCCTAAAATATCCTTGCTAATTAAGTATATTGGCTAAACTGTCATTATTAGAAGGATTATCTTGGAAAAAAATGCATAAATATAAGAGACAAAATGGATTGGGTCTTATAATTAGGACCAAAAAAAAGTCAATTGGGTCTATAATAAGGACCGGAGGAGTATTAGGGTATCCTGTATCAAAGTTATTATCGACGCCACTGCGTCTGTATATAATTTCTCTCTCCATGGTGGGGTGTGGGAATCTTGACTTTTCAAAGTAATAATGTATACATATACATATTTATTTATTAATCTGATTTTCTCTACTCCTTGAAGGACACGTCCAATTTTTTACTGTTAAATGCTCGTTTATAAATACCTCACTCTATCAATTAATGTTACCAGACAAAGTAAACATAAGACCCAGATTAATTGAATACGCAGCTCTTAAAACTTCTACATTTAATATAATGCTCTGCTTAGGCTCTCAACGTGGGACTCTATTGCAATCAGCAACGCACGACTTAGAGAATCAATTTATTAAAAAAAAAAAATCCAGAGAGAGAGAGAGGGGACAAGCCCTAGAAATTTGGTATGAAATCACATGGGCATGGTGGGTTAATTTGCAGCTTTTATATATGGTAATAATAATTAGGGTCGTGCACCACTTCGCAAACCCCATATATATGGATCTTTAATTTAATATAATCGGCGGATTTAGTTTCAGTAATTACCGACTTATATACCCTTCACCACTGTTAAAAGTCCAAAAAAAAAGAAAAAGGAAAGGAAATAAAAGAAAAGTAACACGACTTAATTATATTATCTCCTTAGCGTACGTTTCCCCTAAAAGTCTTAAAGTTAAAATGCACAGTAATAGATCGTGTGCAGGAATCTTGACTTTTCAAAGTAATTAAATATAATATATATATTTATTCTGGGCCAGCTGTTTTGTGTAAGAACCCAATATTATTTATTTATTTATACGATCGATTCTACTTAAACAAAATTAATAAGCCAAATTATACATGTACTAAAATACGACAATTACCGTCCACGTTCCTCTCTTCCCCAGATTTTTTTTATACATAGACATATTTATTATATGCCAACTTTTGAAAATACGACAATTTAATTGCTAAAACCTATATATACGCGCACACACGATTTTCAACATGAAATAAATATTTTTCCTACAGCACGCGGTTGTTCAGAAAAATTCCATACATGTTACGACTACCAAACGAAGGAAGCATAAGACAGGAATTTAATTAAATGGCGCCGGTGTTAAGGAATTTTATGTTATGCTAATTTATTTTCTGAGAAAAAATTAATTAACTATGGGAACGATTCACGGGTGGTCCATAAATTGCTTAAAAAATAATGTCCTTTTCGAACGAGCAGAAGGACAACCCTAAAGTTGAAGGCCGAAGCAATATTTTTCAATTATGGTTTCTTGCACGAAATGAAACTCTTCAGGAAATTTTTCTTTTTCTTTTAATATTTATATATATTTTAAAGAAATAATTGCTTCTTCCATTTAATTTTTGTTGGATTTTCGCAGCCCCAAAATGTGGAAAAGCTGCTTCCCCACTTGACGAGAAGTGGTCGCAACATCACATGCTACTCTCATAATTGAGAAGCCACATGGCCCATAAAAATTCTCAAAAAAGAAAAAAAGAAAAAATAGAAAAAGTGAGTCAATGAGGAAATGAGGCTGCGCTTTCCTTTTAACATGTTCTTCTTCTGTCTCCTACCCCCCAAAATTAAAACAATAATGAGCTTTTACTTCCACCATGTGTTTTCGGAGAACACCTATGGAAGTAAATCATATTTGGGAAAATAAAAATTTCATCATTAATATTAATTATTTTGTCATTTTTTGCTGGGGAAGAGCACCCTCCCCCCCACGCACAAGGTGGTGGATATATGGCTCCAAATAACAAAATGAGAGAAATAATAAATGTGCAGAACATTGGATTATTCTTCCCATCAAAAGCTGCCAAAGACTTGAGTTCGAAACCAATATAAATGAAAGTAAAATGTCCTCATTCCCCAAAATTTTAAAAAGGGTTTAGATCTAAGGGCCAGCTAGTGATCAGGCCACCAAGGACTCCAACCTAAATGACCAATTATTTATAATATATTCAGATATGGATCTATATATCTCATTTTACACACTGTTAATTCCGTCCCCAAAACAATAAACAAAAAGGAAAAAGCAGATGACGCTGGCTAGCGAACAAGTAAAAAGCATTTTGGAGTTTCTTTTTCGTCAAGATAGGCGACGAATAAAGAGGGGCAGGTATAGGAGGGAAATGATAAAAGAATAGTAAGATTTTTCCTTTTTCATTTTTCTGGGTATATGAATAGCTTTAATTCGGTTCAAATAATGGGAAGGGAGATGGATGCTTTAATAAATTTGTGTTAAATTTATTATAAAGAGTGGTTGGATGAAGGGGGACGAGTTGAAGCCATATGGAGGGAAATGGAATAAAGAAAAGTCACAGGGCCAGCTGGTGAAGCTTCTTTTATTTGTGCATTAAAATTTTAAAACGAAGCCAATTGGATATTTTGAATCGGCCCCTCATGACAGCTCCTTCTTAACGACTCACTTTCACTATAAGTACTGCCCCCTCCCTCCCACCTTTCTCAGTCATCCACCAAAACCTTCTCTCTCTCTCTCTCTCTCTCTCAAAAGTCATAGCAGTGAGCGTTTTGATCGGGGCATTGGCCGGAAGTGGTCAGCTTTCTTCTTTATTTTTCCGTTCATGGTTGCTAGGCGTGGCGACCCCTTAAGGGGTCGTCTAAGGCCAATGGCCTTCACATTGGCCATTGTTCTCATGTCCACTACTCTCAGCTTGGTGGCTGCTGATGCTTATCCTTATTACTCTCCTCCGCCACCAACAGAACACTATGAGTACAAATCTCCACCTCCTCCTTCACCATCTCCTCCCCCACCATACGAGTACAAGTCTCCACCACCACCCAAAGAGGCTCCTGCTCCAAAATATGAGTACAAATCTCCACCACCACCGGTTGAGCACAAGTCTCCTCCTTATGAGTACAAGTCTCCTCCACCACCTTACGAGTACAAGTCTCCACCACCACCCAAAGAGGCTCCTGCTCCAAAATATGAGTACAAATCTCCACCACCACCGGTTGAGCACAAGTCTCCTCCTTATGAGTACAAGTCTCCTCCACCACCTTCACCATCTCCTCCGCCACCTTATGAGTACAAGTCTCCACCACCACCCCCAAGAGGCTCCTGCTCCAAAATATGAGTACAAATCTCCACCACCACCTACTCCAAAATACGAGTACAATCTCCACCACCACCACCGTTCAGCACAAGTCTCCTCCTTATGAGTACAAGTCTCCACCACCACCTTCAGATCTCCTCCTCCACCTTATGAGTACAAGTCCCCCCCCCCACCGAAAGAGGCTCCTGCTCAAAATATGAGTACAAATCTCCACCACCACCAGTTGAGCACAAGTCTCCTCCTTATGAGTACAAGTCTCCGCCTCCACCCTCACCGTCTCCCCACCACCTATGAATACAAGTCCCCACCCCACCACCGTAAAGGCTCCTGCTCCAAAATATGAGTACAAATCTCCACCACCACCAGTTGAGCACAGGCTCCTCCCTATGAGTACAAATCTCCACCACCCACCTTCACCATCTCCTCCACCCTATGAGTACAAGTCTCCACCCCCACCATCTCCAAAGCCTTATTACTACAAATCTCCCCACCACCATCACCATCACCACCTCCACCATACTACTACATTCTCCTCCACCACCAGTGAAGTCTCCAGCACCAGAACCTTACTACTATAAATCTCCACCACCACCTTCACCAAAGCCTTACTATTACCACTCCACCTCCACCTCCTTCACCATCTCCTCCACCACCATACTACTACCATTCTCCACCACCACCAGTGAAGTCTCCAGCACCAGAGCCTTACTATTATAAGTCTCCACCACCACCATCACCAAAGCCTTACTACTACCACTCCCCTCCACCTCCTTCACCATCTCCTCCTCCACCATACTATTACCATTCTCCACCACCACCGGTGAAGTCTCCAGCACCAGAGCCTTACTACTATAAATCTCCACCACCACCTTCACCAAAGCCTTACTACTATCATTCCCCACCTCCTCCTTCACCATCACCATCTCCTTCACCACCATACACTACCTACAATCTCCTCCCCTCCATCTCCTAACCTCACCCACCTTACTACTACAACTCCACCAACTACAACAACTCCCCACCACCACCAATGAAGTCTCCGGCACCAACACCTTACTATTATAAATCTCCACCACCACCCTCACCAAAGCCTTACTATTACCAGTCCCCACCACCACCAGTGAAGTCTCCGGCACCAACACCTTACTATATAAGTCTCCACCACCACCCTCTCCAAAGCCTTACTACTACCAGTCCCCACCACCACCAGTGAAGTCTCCGGCACCAACACCTTACTACTATAAGTCTCCACCACCACCCTCACCAAAGCCTTACTACTACCAGTCCCCACCACCACCAGTGAAGTCTCCGGCACCAACACCTTACTACTACAAGTCTCCACCACCACCATCTCCAAAGCCTTATTACTACCAGTCCCCACCACCACCAATGAAGTCTCCAGCACCGACACCTTACTACTACACAGTCCCCACCACCACCTTCACCAAAGCCATACTACTATCAGTCCCCACCACCACCAATGAAGTCTCCAGCACCAACACCTTACTATTACAAGTCTCCTCCTCCTCCATCTCCAATGCCACACCCACCTTACTATTACAACTCTCTCCTCCACCCCCGCTGTCTACCCTCCACACCCGTACCCTCACCCTCACCCACACCCATACCCTCACCCATACCCTCACCACCATCCATTGATTGTTAGGGTGATTGGTAAAGTTTATGTCTACAAGTGCTATAACATGGAATATCCAGAGAAGTCACACAACAAGAAACACCTCAAAGGTACAAAGTTTGAATTAAAAAAATAAGTAATTTGATTCATTATACATATTTATAAGTTTGGGCTTCAAAGTATTCCTTTTCATTATCATTCACAAGTTCTTTCTCAAACTTTAGCAGCCATTTTTTTTTGGTTGGCTCAAACTTTGTGCCATCTTATTATCTCTTGAAAAATTTGCAAATACTTTACATATATATGACCTTTCTTCTAATCATAGGTTTATTAAATTTTATTTGGAAATCATATGTGATATTATAATTTTTGAGAAATAATCATGATATAAATAACTTGCATTCAAAATTTGAGAAAATCTTTTGAAAATTTATCTTTAGCTTTAATTAGATGCAAATAAAAATAATAAAAATTTTTTGATATATATTGTTATGATTTATAAAACTTAGTGATTAAAAAATCATAACTCAACTTTCGAATTATGAGATGCAAGCTATATATATATATATATCTCCTTGATATGGCATAGTTAAATTTATAATTCATTTTTAATGATATAAAATGATTGTGTATCCAAAATGGAAACAAATCAACTAGTTGGCTCAAAAAGATAGTAATTAAAATAAAAAGTTATTTATTAGTATATTTATAATATTCTTTTCAATTGTGTATGTATATTTTATTACTCATTGTGCCTTATACATACTTATTGCATATCATGGGGTAGGTGCTGTTGTTGAAGTGGTGTGCCAAGCTGGAAAGAAGACTATCAAGAGTTATGGTAAAACAAAGATCAATGGAAAATATGCAATTACTGTTGAGGGCTTTGACTATGCCAAATACGGAGCCACTGCATGCAAGGCTCATCTCCATGCCCCTCCTAAGGATTCACCCTACAACTTCCCCCACTAAATTGAATGAGGGAACTCCTTTGAAGGTGTACTCTAAGAACGAGTATGAAGTTGTGCTTAAGTCTAAGCCATTTGCCTATGCTTCCAAGAACCCTCATGATCAGGATTGCCCCAAGCCTAAGCCCAAGCCCACCCCTACACCATATTATTACACGAGTCCTCCTCCTCCTTCACCCCACTACAACACCACCCTACTATTACATGTCCCCACCACCACCTTCACCAAAGCCTTACTATCCACCATACTACTACAAGAGCCCTCCTCCACCTTCACCTGAGTATAAACCACCATATTACTACAAGTCTCCTCCACCACCATCTCCATCTCCACCACCACCTTACTACTACAAGAGCCCTCCCCCACCTTCACCAGTCTACACACCACCCTACTACTATAAATCCCCACCCCCACCATCACCATCTCCCCTGCCACCCTACTACTATAAGAGCCCTCCCCCACCTTCACCTGAATATAAGCCGCCTTACTATTACATGTCTCCCCCACCACATCCCCATCCCCCCACCACCACTACTACAAAGCCCTCCTCCACCATCTCCCTCTCCCCTCCACCTTACTACTACAAGTCTCCACCCCCACCAGTTGAAGCCCCAGCTCCAAAACCATACTACTACAAATCTCCACCACCCCCTTCACCATCTCATTCTCCACCTTACTACTACAAGTCTCCACCCCCACCAGTTGAGGCTCCGCTCCAAAACCATACCACTACAACTCTCCACCCCCACCATCCCCATCTCTACCACCCCCACTACTATACAAGAGCCCTCCTCCACCATCTCCCTCTCCCCCTCCACCTTACTACTATAAGTCTCCACCCCCACCAGTTGAGGCTCAGCTCCAAAACCATACCACCACACTACAACTCTCCACCCCACCATCCCCATCTCTACCACCACCACCCTACTACTACAAGAGCCCTCCTCCCCCGTCTCCTCCTCCTCCCCCTCCACCCTACTACTACAAGTCTCCGCCCCCACCAGTTGAGGCTCCAGCTCCAAAACCATACTACTACAAATCCACCCCCACCATCACCATCTCTTCCCCCACCTACTACTACTACAAGTCTCCACCCCCACCTGTTGAGGCTCCGGCTCCAAAACCATACCACTACAACTCTCCACCACCTCCTTCACCATCCCTATCACCTCCATACTACTACAAATCCCCTCCCCCACCATCCCCATCTCCACCACCAGTCTACGTCTATGCTTCCCCGCCACCTCCAATCTATTAAGCCTGGGATGCAAAATGACCGTCCATTATAAATTATGTAAGTTAATAAATCACTTGTTATGGTAATGAATGCGTTCACACATGCACACACGTTTCGTATTGACATCATTCGTTACTAAAAGTTTTATCTTCAATATGATTTCAGGTTTTTCTAGTTTTTTTTGTCAAATAAAGGCAGGCTCCCGTTGGAGCAGAGTTCAAGATCTAGCTTCCAGTTTAAGTTTTTCGAATAAGAGTCTGAATATGTTATCTCAGAGCTATAATATCCAGAATTCAGACAATGTTGCATCTATTTCTATGGTGGCCATGCTGAACGTCCTGTGCTTATGGTGTTCAAGTGACAAACAAGTCAGGAAGAGGAAGCAAGATTAATTTAAAATGTATATGCATTTGAAAGTGATGAGTACAATCTGCATTATTAGTGATCTTAAATTATTTTATGTATAGAATTAATGTGGCCGTGTATGATTTGAATTTTATTTATTGTGTCATTTTTGAAGTTTGATCCTGTTGTGTTGTTTGTAACAATGGGCATAGTAATAAAGGAATTCATTTTTCTTCACTTCCTTTTTTCAAAGTTTTGCTTCAAGTATATATTAACCACTGCTGAAATTTCAAATAGCTCCAAAGTCAACACAAAAAAGGTTCCAATACCCAAATTCCATCAATCGAGAGTGTTCCAAAGCCAAAAGGTCCACTCCTTTTTGGGATTTTCCAGATATTTTTTAAACTCCTCCTGCGAGATCAAGCATGGCTCTCTTCTCTCTCACTTCAGTAATTATTAATCTGAGTGAGAGTATATATGCCATAGTGCGAAGATCCTCTTTTTTCTTTTCATATGTTAGTGCTCTCTGTCTTCTCCAGAACCTAGCAGCAAGACATGGTCTTGAGGGCCTGACAGAAGTTAGTGGCCAGCTCTCTGCAACTTATTCCCTTTGTTCTCTTCTAGCTTGACAAGCTATAATACTCAAACCAGAAAATTCAATATATACATACTCCTCCGGTCCTAAATATAAGATCTTTTTTATAGTGTAATGACCCCTTTTGTAGTGTAAATTACACTATAAAAAGGGTCTTATATTAGAATCAGAGAGAGTATTATATAAATAAGCCATTTTCTACTAACTTTAAATTCTTCACAAGAACTTTTTCTTTTCTGGTAATGGAAACTGTATTAAAATTCAATAATGGTCTGTATTAGTTTGCTCAGTCTAATGAAAAGCTAATCTCCTCCAGCATTCGGCCTCAAGTGTCCTGATCATAAAGTCCAAAGAATATCACCATTGATGAGATAACAGACAGATGAACTTATTAGAGGCAATACTTCTTATATCTCTTCTTTGGCTGATGGAAGCACCAATAATTCTATTATCCATTGGATTATCCTAACTGCACTTGGCTCATTATCCACATTTATGTATTACAAATGCAAGACTCTAATGCTAAAGTTCCCGAGATCAAGCTGGCTGGCACCCTATTGATAAATCAGCACAAACTCCCCATTATACATAAAATCCATTTATTTAATTAGTGGGCCCTCAATTATAGGTTTAATTATTTCTCACCCCTTGTCTCATACAGAGCCTATTTCAATTATTCTCATTAATTAATACAGTATTTAGTGACCTAAATTGATGCATGATTTGTGCTTGGTAGGAACTTAAAAAGTCATTTGCGCCTTTTTTTTTCCGAAGAGAGAAAAAATAAAGCTTCATATAGATCATTAATTTCTTCTTACTACCAGCAAGAAAAAGATATTAAGTATCATGAATCTACGAGAAAAGCGGCAACTTGTTCTGAATGGGTAGACATGAAGATAGAAAAGAGGTTCAACTTGATGTAAACAATCTAATATAGGACAGTTGTGTGTAGCTGTGTTCCAATTGATATCATTGAAGGTGATCAAGACCTTGCATATGTAACCATAAATATAGATTCTTGAGAATATAAAAGACAAAAGAGAAGGGGCGCGAACGTTTGGAGGCTCTAGAGAATGATCATTATAAAGGAGATGTACAGGAATTGGTCATCGCGGAAAGCATCTTTGCTCGAAGAAGTGGGAAGTTTCAAAAGCAAGAGACCGACAAAATGGTGAAAGTGACAAATGCTTGGATTGTAATAGAATAAAAATAGCAACACCAACAAAGCAAGCAAAACATGTAGATGATCATTTCACGCCAGGAGTAGATGAATAGGTCCCAATAATACACCGGTTTGTCCTTTTTTTCTTTACCCCTCATGCCTTGCCACGTATTGTTGGCATTCAAGTCATTCCTCGGAGCTGTTTTCCATCCTATCAACCAAAGAAAACTTTGCCACCACATACATAATGACGAGTTCCACGCCAGTGTTGACTTCTCTAACTCCCTATGAATTACTTCTCATCGTTAATACGATCTTCCAAATATTTCAAAAAATCTGAAAAAATGCATCGCTATCAGATATTTCTTAGGAACTCCGCGTTTATATTAGAAAACATCAAAATAAACTCTTCTGCATTACAGAAAGCATAGGCAAGCCAAGAGAGCAACTATGAAGAGTGTTGTATTCCCTCATTTTCGTTACAAGTAGGTTAAAAGAATAGCACATCATCTCAGTGCTTTTGAATGCTTTATTTGCAGTCAGTTAACAAGCAATTCATTTACAATCCTTTGAGGATAATTTCGGTTTTGTGAAACTTTGAGAATGCAAAAATAAAATCGCATAAAATATAGCTTGTTAAGTCGAGCCCAAAATAGTTATACATGAGGTTGACAGGTGAAAAAATTGATGTCCTCAAGTGGGTGTGTCCGGCCCTTTTGTTGTGGACAGCCTCGAGGCGTTCCTTTGCGCGATGAACTTTTGACTGAAGGTAGAAACTTCCACTCTTGGCATTGCTTTCAAACAGTTGTCATATCTCTGCACAGAAGAATGTTTTAGCAATTAATATTTGGCAAATCGGTAATGACCAGAAACAAGTCAAGAGACTGACCTTCACAATCTCTGCCCAAGGGGTTTTCTTCTGTCACGCCAAGAATCTGCCGAGCCTCCTGCTCTGTCATAACCTTATTAGCTCTTCGAATGGTATTCTGTATTGTCTCTTGTGCCACACACATTTTTCGAGGCATCTGTGACAACTTCTTGTTAATAGCATGACCAAATAAACAGCCAGCAAACTTTGGCTAGACTAGAGAGGACATGAATTCCCACATGCCATGATTATAGAACCCTACCAAGATATTTCATCACTAAACCCCCCCCCCCCCCCCAAAAAAAAATCTTTGAAGAGCTTGACGTCCCCGAAACAAACGCAAACCAAATGAAATCATAAAACTACGAGAATGACGTGTAAGCCAAAGTTGGCGTGTTCACGAACTCTACCATATAAAACCTTGGTTTAAGAGGAAAAAACAGCGAGACATTTGTTGGGCAACCAGTTTGGTTATTAGTAATACCAAATTCTTTCCATGAGGGGATTTGTGTGTTGAGAGAGACTGTCTCTCACCCAGACGTATTCATGTCAACAGTACTCAAAGCCTAGACGATTCCAGTGTAGAACTGGACGTTAGATATCAAGCACCCGAAATGAAGAACCCTAAGCTGAAAAGGTATTAGCAAGATATGTTCAAGGCATATAGCAGTCAGCAAAAAATTAATTGAAAACCACCTCAGGTACAAAACCTAACAGTAAACCAGCTTCAAGATGCCCAATTGAGAACAATGCATAGAAATAGTAAGTCGAAGAAACCTTTTTTGCCAGACGATTTAAGGAACTTACTAGCAAGAGCTTGACGATAAGCTTGAACAAATGCTCTAGCTAAAATGCCACCACCCATCACTATCAGGTTTGCAAGAATCTTTGCAGCCTGCGCAAATAATTCAATTAAACTTAAGATCCTATTCAGAATCTGGAACAGGAAGATTTCTAAAATCAATACGTTCTGACAGCGGGGTCAGGAGCCTGCTTTCTTTCAGCATACCAGGTCAATATATTTTCCACTCCCTATCCTCTCTATTTCATTCAAAACTAGAGAA